CACACACACACACACACACACACACACACACACACACACACACACACCCACACACACACACACACACACACACACACACACACACACACACACACACACACATTAAGATTTAACCCAATTCAGTGGATGATGAAAAGAATGTGCTGCTGAGGACACTCGTAGTTGCACCTTGGTGACCACATGTGCAGATATTTGAAGATACAACAACAGATGTGAGTTTTAGGTTGTGCGGCTCAGTTGTGTGTAACGACCAGTGTGAGCTTAGTTTTCGTAAATAAATACTTACAAGACAGGGAGTGACCTCCTTTGGGCAGGTACTCGTACAGTAAGGGGTTATCATCTCCCATCATCTCAGCCCGCAGAGACAGCAGGCTGTTCTTACTCATCAGTGCTGCCTTCAGGTTGGCCACGGACGACATCCCTCCACCCCCCGCCCCTCCGCCGGCCTCCTCCGATTCGTTGGTGCCCAGGAAGCTGGGCTCTGTGGTTAGAGCTTCTTCCTGTTTGAGGAAGAAGTCGAGGCGTTCGCTGCGGCTGTCTGAGCTGTTGGGTTCGGTCACGTCGGCCCCTGAACAGTAAAAAAAAAAAAAAGAGACGACAGAGGATGAGTCAGGTTTGTGTCTGTGCAGATCTCACTCCGACTTTAAACGCTTCAAAAACTGAATTCAAATAAGGTTTTACGTCTAAGCATGCCCCCACAATACACTTTAATTAATTTGAGGGATTACAAACTTCTCGATAGACTGAAAATCCTGTTACCCTTGACAAAGCCGATAAAAAGGCTTGTTCAAACAACAACAACAAAAAATATTTTAATATTTGCTTGTAAAGCTGACACTTTGTCAATTTAAGGAGATTCAACTCTGCTGTAACAGCTCAAGTGTAAATAACATAGAAACTCTGAATAAAACACAGATTATTCTGTACCACTTTAAAATAAGGCTCCCCTGATATATGCTAATAAATAGTTTATAGATATGTTACTAATGCCTCTATAAACACTTTATAAATCATTAATAATAATTTATTATGCATTAATTAAGTGTGACGGACAAAACTGACCATTTTCTTGCCAAACAGTAAGTCAAATCTGTTCACCTATACATTTCATCTAGAGTTGTTATATTAAACATTTCAGACTAAGTTACTCACTTGTAAGAACAATAAGCATTTGTAAACCACGTTTTACAAGGTAGTAACTTAGTCTGAAATGTTTAATATAACAGCTCTAGATGAAATGTATAGGTGGCAGATTTGACTTATTTGGCAAGAAACTGGTCAGTTTTGTCTCTGCCATCCTTAATTAATGCATAATAAATTATTATTAATGGTTTATAAAGTGCTTTCAGAGGAATTAATAATGTATCTATTAACTATTTATTGGCCACCTATAAGGGGAGCCTTATTGTAAAGTGGTACTGATTATTTCAAACTGCTAAGCCCAGTCCAGACTTAATCCTCAAGTTTTATTTCTTGAAATCAAAGCACCACAGAACAGATTCACCTCCTTTCTCCTGAACTCCTATTCATACCTCATCGTTACCAGTCAACAGAAACACAAGGCGATTATAAAAAGATGGTGAGAAAGAGGAAACGCACACAGACGTAGTAAAGTGTGTGTGTTGTGTCTGCATGTGTGCCGTTTAGCCATCAGAGTCCCAGAAAGCGGAGAGAAGCTGTCAGCAGTTAGACGTGTCGCTGGAAGTTTTTCTGTAGATCTACAAGACTGTCAGAGCACACCGCTGACGACAGCTCAACACAAGAGCAAACACACTCACACACAAATACGTCAACAGACACACTCCTAATGCCTCGTAATTGACATTTACCTGATGACAGGTTGCTTTATGTTACACACACACAAAAAAAAAAACCACACATCAAGCACATCAGTGGCTTAGAGTCTTTGAAAGAACAGCTCGTCTACATCTAAAACAAACACAGACATCTGAAGATTAATGCAGGCTCGCCTTAAAGGGGACTGCACGTAATTATGTTTGACTGTTTGGGACAGAAACCTTCTGACATCCTGATTCACAGCAAATCCACAGCTGACTGAAATCCCACTTGAAGAAAAAGGAGAATAGAGTAGAGAAGAAACAGTTCATGTAGAAATAGGAGCTGTACCGCTAGACCATCCACAATATACATACTGTATTTTCGCTGTATAAGTCACAGGTTTGCATAAATTAGCATGCCTGTAACTTATACAGTGAAGTGACATATTTATGTTTTTCCCCTTATTTATAACCCAATTTTTGGCTGGGATCTGACGATTTCATTCAGTCTGACATTGAAAATATTGGACACTACCATTTTCAGCCACTAGAGGGCCCTCGACTAATATGGCAAGCCCAAGTGTCTCATTAATAGGTAAAACTGGCTATTATTGAGACACCTGGCTTGCCATACAAAGCCACTTTTGTCTTGCTCCAGAACTCCTGGAGCAAACGTCAAATCAGCTGCATTTCGCGGCGCCACCCATGAGAAATGCAGCTGATTTGACTGTTAAAGTGCATTTATTAAGGAAAGGTTCAACTGAGATACACCTTTACTATAATGTCGAACAAACAAATAATTGTTTTTAATGTTAATCTTGTTAAATTCTTGCTAAAGTCCTCCTGTGGCTCCCGCAGCCGCCATTTGGCAGCCAATCAATTTTTGGCACAACACCAGCCCACGTTTTCGGGTGGTCAGCGGTGACACATAGATGCGACTTATGCAACGAAGCGACTTATTTATGTTTTTTTTCCATTTTATTAAACATATTTAGGCTGATGCAACTTATGCAGTGCAACGTGTATGGCAGAAAATACGGTATATGCTACAGTATCAGTATACTTTGTACATGACAATAAAGTTGTTTCCTAGTGTACACAAAAACACAGTGAGAACAGGGTGTTAGCCTCCACTGACAATTTAGTACTTTATTTAAAACATAAGCAATTTTATTAGTATAAATGTAATGTGGCTACAAGACAAATATTCAGCTAGGAATTGTCATGACCCTAAAAGTTTAAACTTAACACGATATGGTACAATGCTAAGGAAAAGACTAAATTTATGATACCATGATTGATACGTTTATAAAAACACAATACAGTAATAAGTATAAACTGTTTTTATTACCCTAGAACATTTTTTTACCCCACAAACCAAAATATATTATAAAATGTGCAAGAAAACTGTCACAGCCAAAGACATGAAACAACAAAATAGTTTCATTGTTAGAAGATGAAACACCATGAAGTAAAACGAGACAATGCGGAGCAACAAGAAGCTGTGTGAGTGGTTCTAAAGTGTTGCTGCATTAATCGCAGGATGCACTTTGAATGATCGGAGAGAAAAAATGACTCATGTCGTTACATTGTGTGTTGTTTGGCCAAGATTCTGATGTTTGTCCAGATGTTTCTTTATATGACTACAGTTCCTTTTTGTACCAGTGTTTTAATTTTGAAGTCAATTTTACTCAGTGGCTTAGATAATTAATAAAATAAATATGTTTAACTCCAGTGGTCACAGCCTCCGTGTTGAGGGAAGAGCAATGGGATTTTATTGGAAAAGGGGATTTCTTCTTACAGGACCCATAAGAGAAAATCTAGAAGAGAGAAACTTGTCAGGTTATCTGAGCACTTTGTGCTTTTAGAGTCTCTATCCACTTTATTCCTGGGGACTCTCCTGTATAAATGATTATGGTACAACTTCCTGTCAGACACAGGAAGTAGCAGTAAGCACTTGTTAACCATGGTAGCAGAGTACGGACCGCGGTTTATTTGAAAGTAATTTGCATTCAGTTTAACAGATAAAACACTGTTTATGTTTTGTTCACATTTATTTAACAACCATAAAGTTTACTAAAATAGCCTTGCTGAGTTCAGGTACCTGTTTTGTTCACGGCTGCACGAACAACTAACCAAACTAATCAGTGGCCACAACAACAGAGTTTTGAACACGGACCCAAAACAAAAACGGCGTTCCTGTGAAAAGAGGTATAGTTTCCATCTCCTATCTACAGATGAGGAATTCAGAAGAATGTGGATGAAAAATCTGAACTTGAAGAGACCACCCAAAACACTGTTTGTGTGTTCATTTCACTTTGTTGACAAACAGCCGAAAGAGGAAAACCTGCATCCTACTTTGTGTCTGGACTACAATAAACCACCAGAGAAGAGACGCCGGATCCTCAGAAGGATTGAAAACAGTGACAAGAATATCAGGTATGATTTCAAGAGTATGAAGAGCACAGTTTTATAGTATTTGTTCATGTTCAGTATTATGATTTTCTCTGCAATTAACCCAGGCTCAGTGATGGAGGACTTTAAGTCTTTGGCTGGGCTCTATGTCTGATTTAAGGTGAATAAGACTGTGTCTCTCCTCTTAATAAAACATGACCAACCTTATTACTGTGTAGATACTGATACCTCAGAGCTTTTCAGGTTGTTCATCACTTCATGGTCAGAAACAAATGAGTCAATGAAGAAGTAGCCAAATATGCTAGAATAAGTAGCTAAATACAGTATGCTAGTAGATGTAATTTGCGGCCACTTCTTCAGGTTGTCCTCCATCCCTCGTCCTCAGCAGGCAGCAGTATAATTATATTGTCCTGTTTGAGCTGTGACAGGTGGTGTTCCTACATGTTTAAATTAAACCCACAATGCTCAAAGAATCTACGTTTGCTCGTACTGTTTGCACATAAACAAATGCCGGTTCTGGTCCGTGCTGGAATTTGCGTCCATAATTCACGTTTGTAAAGAATGAACACGTTTTCTAAGCTGAATATGATCTTTTCACTCCGCACACCACTGAACTTTCACTATGTTGTAAATAAAAATTTCAAGATCAAGCATGAGTAAGTTACTGGCTCATCAGCTGCAACAAATATCTACATGTCAGTTGATACATTGAGTTGAAACTGGTGCAGAAGGCGAGGGCCATTGGAAATGAATATAACTTTTGTGGAACTTTACATGCTGCTGCATGGATGTTTGCTTTGTGTTTTTAAGAGCTGGTCTGTGGTTATCACCCCTGACTGTCATTGTCACTCCTGCTCTGGATCAACATCTTTAAGAGGAACTGGACTGCCTTATCACTGCAACGGTGTTTAAGGCTGCTGTCTAATCTTTACCGAGCTGTAAAAGCCCAGGTCGAGACAGCTTCACTGAATTCTTCAAAACCATTTGGAAGCAGCTGGACTTGTTCCAGTTAGAGAGGTTTGCTGAATCTTTTAGACAAAGACCGTCGTTGTTTATCTTGTTGCTTTTGAAACAAGGTAAAGACCATTTTAATGTGGTCCGTGTCGTTCCATCGATTTGTTAAATACTGACTTCAAACTGCTGGCAAAATTACCGGACAGGTGCTTAAACAGTTTTACTTCTTACAAAACACACGATGGCCACACTTCAGCCAGATTTACAGTCAGTGAAGTAAAATGTGGTGTGGTAGTAGCTGAGTCATCCCTAATATACTCCGAGCGTGACATCCAGTGAAACTGCATGAGATTGCACGTAACGTTATTTTCAAAGGTTAACAGAAACAGCCACACCACCATCATTTTTCATCATAAGATGA